ATATGCATTTATCTCTGTATTTAGACTAATTTATTTTTTTATTACAATATTTATATCAAAATTATTATTTCTTAATTTATCAATTTAAAAAAAACCAATTACCTCACTTACATGAGATAAAAAAATGATAAAACTAAAAAAAGATTATGACACGCACGTTATGATATATATATTAATATATATGCATGTTATTTGAGATTATAATACACACGTTATCATATATAATTATAATACACACATATTATGATATGCATATATTAATATATATGATATGCATATATTATATAATTATAATATTATATTATCATTATCAAATATTATTAGTGGCTAAAAAGAGAAAGAAGTGAAAAAAAGATTTTTAATAAGATGGACAAACTTAAAATATTAAAAAATTAATATGGGTAGTTTGGTTAATATTAGACATAATATTTCTCTCCCTTCCAAAAAGCCCCAAATTTGGAGGGGAGCATGGGGAGGGGAGGAGAGCACTAAAAGACAAATTTCTCTCCTCCCCTTCCCTTTATTTTTCCCAACCAAATACACTTGTCCCCTCTTCTCCCCTCTCCTCTCCTCCCCTCCCCTCAACAACTCTCCAACCAAACAAAACCTTAGGAACAAAGGAGCAATGAAGTTGTGAAGAAGACTTTGTTTGAGCAATGAAAGGCAAACTGATAGAATGACTTTGTTTCAAAGAGATGAAATGATTTTCTTTTCTTTTCTTTTTAAAAAATCAAGTCAACTTCGAAGTCTTCCTATATGTCCGTCCTATGTAGAATTAGATACCTCAATAATTACTTCCTGATGCTATTTACAAGACACTTTTATATTTTAAAACTGATTGACCATGTATTAAAATTTAATGACTTTTGACCTGTATTCTGTTTAATATGCACTCTATATTTTAGTAACATTTTTCCTATAATAATAAACAAATGGAACAATTGTAGTGTCATATAAAAAATTTAATAATAAATAAGAATAAAAAATACATTACCTCTATCTCATAAACAGTATCATAATTCAGAAAAATACTCTTCTAATTCTATTTATAACGTAAAAAAAATTATACTATTTATAAATCACTTTATTAAATTTTTCCTATCAATAAATAATTTTAATTTTAATTTATTATTATATAGTATAAACTTTGTTTTTATGAAAATAATATATATTAAATAAAAATAAAATTAAAAAATTGTTAAAGCATATCTCTTTGATACGTCTCATCTGCGTCCTTGCCTAAAGCGAAGTGGCTGCCAGCAGTTTAATAGGGTCATTGCTGGCAAGTCGTCGCTCCTTCTAAAAGGAGACGCATATAGGTTCGGAAGGGACGAAGAGTAGATGGCCAAAGAAAAAAAAGGTGGGGACCCATTGAGGGAAAATAAGAAAATAAAAAAACAAAACGAAATACTGTGATATTATTAAGAGGAGGGTATAGTGGTCAATTTGCAATATTTTGTTCTTTCAATATAATTATAATTTTTGGATCCTCTACTATAAATTTTCCTATTTTCTTCTTCAAGACTGCTTGTAAAATAACAGTATAGCACGCTATAAATTAAACATAATAATTAGAATGTATTTTCATTCATGACAGTCATGCCAATACAACAAATTATTCTCTTAAAAAGTTTCACCTTCATTTCCATCCCTGGTTTTTATTCTAGCTTTACACCAAGTTATCATGGTGTAAGATGTAACCCAAAAAGTTAGATGAAAATAATATACTAATATAGAGTTAAGCTGCATCTAGCACTCTAGGATAATTTTTAAGGCGTATCTAATATTCTAAAATATTACTTCCAATCAGATAAAATATTACTCAAAACTAACTCAATAATATTAGATATGACATAGTTATATGTATAAAAATCATGAATGACATTGCATCTAGAGGTGCCATAAAAATTTTTTACTATCTCTTGTCCTTGATACAATAGCTAGATAACTAATTTGAAAATATTAAAAAAAATAATTAAGTTGATTAATTATGACAAATATGTGTTGACTATGCTAAACTTTCCTTTTTAGTCATGTGTATTGAAACTATCTTTTGGTGAGAACTCTTAAAATAAATAGAAATATTTTGAAAAAAAATTATAAATTTGAGAGATAAAATGGATTGTGATTTTATATTTATAACCAAATTCAATCTCCAACTAAATCATTTATAATATAAACATCACGCATTGATCTTACCTTGCTCTGTTTTAAAGCAAGTGAACAGAGCTTTCTTTGTTGTTTGAATAATAATAATGATAATAATTCAATGACTTAATATTCAAAAGTAAACAATTAATATATATATCTATATATATCAGCTGTAGTTAAGTGATCCTAAAATAATTTAAGATATTTGCCTCATTCTGAGAATTGGGGGGAAAATAAGTTCAATCATTCATGCCTCAAATATTTTTTAATATGATATGGAAACACGTGGAAAATGAGGTAAAATAAAGAATTTAAACACTTCTTAATATAGTAAAAAAAAAAAAAAAAAAAAAAAGTAAAATTCTGCCGGCTCATCACGCACCCCAAACCATATGTTCCCAAACAATGGGCATGCAATAGAGGGGTTAAAAAAGGGGTCAACTTTATATCCCTTGCTTCTTTAAACAATAGTCCTTTTTTTTTTTCCAACCTTTTGGTAACTAAGACTTCCATTGAAAATAAAAAATGCTCCTATGATACTATTTATAAGCATTTATTAATAAATTTTCATAAACTGAGAAAGTTAACTGAAAATAGTTATTTCTTGAAAAATATCAAAATTGTCCTCAATAAAAGTCATCAATTGGAAGAGGTTGTTTAATTAATGTGAAAATTTTATAATTAATTGGGGATATTTTGCGTAAAAAAACTGATGGTCCAAGCAAAACGTGCCATGTTATGAACCTTTTCAAGCATGGAAACTTAGAAAGAGAGAAATCTTAGAGTTACAAATATAGTCGAACTGACCTCTTAATCTTGGACGAACAGTAATACCACTAAATTATATGATTGGCATAAGCTATTTTCCTTCGTATTGCATGTGTTGTAAATGTTTTTTTTTCTTTTACCTTTCCACAGTATAGATTTTGTAATAAATGTCGAGGAATACTTTCTCTCCTATTCGTGTAAGTAAGTATTCTGATTTTATGGAATGAATTGACATTTTCACCAAAAAAAAAAGTAAGAAAATTCTTTTCACAAAAAATAATGGTTTTATGGATGCAATGTAAAGAATTAAAGATGTCATCCTCACATGACGTTGAGGTCACCATAATGCCCTTTTTGTGTTCGATGAATTTGCCTCGCTCACTTGTATGATGCCATTCTCAGTATTCCATCAAGAACAGGGGAAAGACATAGGTTTAGGACTTTTTAAGATAATTAGAGCATGAGAACGGATTTATTGAGTGCTTGGATCATTTGTAGACAGAAGTTGTGAGTGAGTCTTGACTTTGATTGCCTTTTCTAATTTGATCATATAAACGATCTCTTGCAGCCCAGCAACACTGAGAGCTTGATCGGTCTCAGCAAAAGGAGGTGCAGTCAATACATTAGAAGACGATTTCTGACTTTGTTGCACCTGAATGAGGTGAACATATTATATGAAATCTACTCAAATTCAATCAGAAAAATATGAAGAAAATGTTAAACTGGCCTTTAGTAGACTTTATTAAGACAAAGAGAAAACAACAATGCAGTAGAGATTGGCTGCCACTAATACAGGCCTGTATTGTATGTATATCTTTTGGCGAAATAGTAAAAGAATGTCATTAGAAAAAATGTTTCCTGCAAACTTTTAATTAAAATAAACCATCTCATCACAAAATAACTTAAAAAAAGAAAGTGTGTATTGATCAGTTAATTCAAAAGGCATATGTAAAACAGAGACGATAGAGTGTGCATGCAGTAATAAAATTTTTTTTATATTGTTTTTATTGAACGAAATTTCTTTTAGTATTTTTCGGGTGCTCCAACCAACATCCTAGTAGACGTAAAGAGAACCACAAAGTGATGAGATTAGCGATCACATGCCAGTTGATCTTTAATTAGATTATAACTTTGTCATTTTTGGCATCTCAGAAATAACATTTTTGTGAAAACAGAGCCATACCTTTATGGTTGTGGAGTCCTGTGGTGTTTCATGATCACAAACCATAAAATCATTGAAACATCTGATACTAAACATAAAAGAAATATCAATATCCTATTTAATGGACTTGAGAGATAACAAGATTTGGCAACCCCCTAATATGTAGTCTTTCTTGGGGAAATCAATGCAAGTTCAATTTTTTTTTTTAAACCAAAAAATCAATGCAAGTTCTCATACTTTGGTTATCGTCACATAAATGGTCTTTATGATAGCTTCAGTTTTGGAAAGCCGGTATTGAGTCGTGTGAGATCAGAGGAGCTCCAAAGCAGGAAGATCAAAGTGCAGTTCATCATGTTGATTCTGTTTTGCTGAAACATCCTCACGATGGTATTTCCCCCACAATATATATTAGTTTAGGAGCATCTTTGACAGGCCCAGACCTCAAGGTTTTAATTTCTCTAAGTATTGTGGATGGAAATAAAATTTCCAAGCCTTTGCACTCCCTGATTTTTAGTTTCTGCAACTTTGAGAAAATGTAACAGTAGTATCAATTCATTTCAATTATAAATCCTTTTTCTTCTTAAAATAATTAATCAATTTATAATTCATAAGATAGACACTTGAACGAAAATAGTGAGGCAAGTAGTGTAGCATACGAGTAGCTTTGCTTGATCAAGCGATATATGTTCAGAAACAACAGTATTATTCTCATAAAAGAAACACCAGCATCAAATTTTCTGTCCACTCCACATCAGGAGTCCACATTTAGACAAGTGATTATGCAAGAACTAGGAGAAATCTCACTGGAGAAAAACCCAGACTTGAACTGTAACTAATTCTTAATGTGTTTCATAGTCTATAGCAGTAATCAGTCTTTCGTGAAAATAAAATAGAACAGCATGAAGCACACAAATAGTTGCTAAAATCCAAAAGGCCTATGTTTAGCAGCAATTATCTCCCAACATTGTTGCCTTCGTTCTATGATATCTTGACGTTCTTTTAGAAGATGAGCATGACGAGCCATAACATTGACATGCTCTTGTTGAGCCACTTGTGTAGCTCTTGCAGCCTCAACTTCCTCATCACGAATAGCTTCAAGCATTGCCTCATTGCTTCGCAGATCATTGTCTAAACCCCCTAGAACATTTTGGATGCTATCAACTTCACATATCTCACCATAAAAAACCTTACTCTTTATAGACTCAATCCAATCCTTGTCAAAACCCAAAAGATAAGCATCCTTCAAATGCTCAGCCAGCATCCTCTTGTCTTCCTCGGTGATTGTGAAAGGAGTCTTGGTGATTAGAATGTTCAAGATATCAAGCAATACCCTGTAGGACACATGTAACACTCGAGCGCTTCTATCTTTTGTAGAGAGTCGAAGTTGTGGGCGAGTCTCAAGTGCCTTTGCAAATATTAAATGCTCAAAACCCTCCAACTTCATCATATCAACTATTTCCTGTACTCCAGAAATAGTTGAGGTTTGATTATTGGCTTCCAGAAGAGAAGGCATCATCTCTATAGCTGTAGAAAATGGTGACAATGACAACTTTGCATCCTCAATAACATTTGACTCTATCCCATCATGAACGGAAGCCTCAGGCTTCTCTTTCAATAAAGATCTCTTTACTTTTACCTTGCTTTGATGATGTGGTAAAGTTATCAAGCCACCTATGAAGCCAAAAATAAGCAATCGATGATATATTTGCACGCAAGACAAGGCGCTACTCCTTTTGCTTTTGGAGTTAATTAAGGAAATTGCTTTAATCTTAAATATAAGATTCAACCTTCTATATGTTGTCCAACATTTGTCATTTTTCTCACAAACTACCTTGATTGACTAGGTTGCAATCAACAAGGGTAATTTTTTTATATAAATGATTAAAAGTAATGATATTTTAGGAAATTTTTTTTTTAATAAATAATCAACATAACTACTTTTCTTAATATATGTGAATTAGTTATTAAACTCTTACATTTAAGACTAGAGAGGGTAATATTTTACCTTTTCTTCCCTCTTCCTCTTTCTCATGGGATTGTATATCATGTACTGTTGTTTCTTGTTGTGATTGTGGTTCCATCATAATTGTTTCTTTTTTCTCTTTGGTCCCCAGTTCATCCTGTGTGAGGGATAAATGAAAGCCGAAAGTTTGAGCCATGCATAGCATGGATAAAAAATAATAATTTACAAGTAGAGGATAAATAATCTCACTTTTAAATATGTCTTTTGTGAATTAGTTCTATTCAAAAGACTTGGATTCTCTTCTTTATCATTCTGCAAAAAAAAAAAAAAAGAGAATTAGTTTGCATTTTGTAGTAGCTTTATTAGAAATGTTGTTGTCAGCTAGTTTTTTATGGTTATTTTGACCAATGGCTCAAATAAATATAAAGGGAAAATATGAAAAAACTCCAACTAAAGAAAATAATTACCAATAGGTCCTACTTACGTATCAATATGTTATGGTAATTTACATGCCATCTGTTGTGTTGTCATAGACCTATTAAATATTTCTTCTTTACCTATTGTTTAAGTGTTCTATATGAAAAGGGATATGTCTAACTTTATAGTAATTTTCTTGCTTAACACCCCAAATAGACATAAAACAAACAAACAAATAAAGAGATAATAAGGTAAGACATAGTGATTTTCTTATGACATTTATGGTAAAAGAAATCATGTTTGGTTCAAAATAACTTTGAAACAGAGAAAGAAAATGAATGTGCTCGTAACAGTGAATGGCAGCATACGATTAAATTAAGTTTGTGGATATAATCATGCTAGTGACAGGTAAAAGTAATAAAATGCCTTTAACCAAAATAATATATGTGTATATATAATGCAGTGAAATGAGATATACTATTGTGAAATTTGTGGAACCAGTTGTGGATTGTTGTGCTTCCATGGCTTGTCTTCCATTTGAATGGGGAGAAAGATTATGCTCTGCCTCTTCCCCAACTTCAGAATCTTGATTTTGAGAGTGATTAGAAAGCTGAGTAGTTGTAATTTCTGCAAACACATAATAATTTTCAATTTGGATTAATGACTAACTTCTCTGAATGCATATCATAAAAAGAAAAATTGGAACAATCGTGTATGATGGAAGATTTTTCCAGTTTTTTATATTAAAATTGACAGATGTACTTTTCATGTGTGAGTGTAAATATATTTAAATAATACTCTTCTTTTTATGTGTTAGGTCACCTGGATCAACTCTTAAATTATCACTTCCACTTGAGACAATGGCATGGGCAAGGGATTTGTCAGAAACTTGAGCATCATCTGCAACATTAGGAGTTTACTGGTTATTTTATCAAACCAAAGGATGAAATACGTCATTTAGAGAAAGTATTAAGTACCATCAATAGAGGTTTTAGGCTTCTCCTCTGGTAAAGAACTTCTAGACTTTATGCCGCTTCGAGTACGTTGAGATGTTATCAAGCTATCTGTAAAACCTAAAATAAATAACCAGTATTTTTTACAAAACTAACATATCAATATTTTACCTCCCTCTTCTTCTTCTTCCTCTTCAAAACTTTTGGCACTTGCATGAGTGTTGTCTCTTGTAGGAAGAACATTGAAGTTGGGACTTGTATGAGATGGTGCCTCCTATTAGAAACCAACGGCTATATAAAACAAAGATGATAAATTGGTCTTTTTTTTTTTTGTACTCTAACAAACACTCCAATATATAAAAAGAAGCTTTACAGAGAGTGGCTAAGAAATAAGTCTTAAAAATTTTTTTTTAGTCCAATGATAAAATTGCCATTTTTTTTTCGCAATTTTAATGTTATACCCTCTTCAATAGTTTTCTTTGTTGGTTCATAAACAGTACAAGATTTAAAAAAAAAAAAGAGTATACAATGTTGGGTTCCCTTCTTCTTCATTATTTAGCATAAATTAAAAATAATGATTCAGATGACGACAATGTGTTCTTTTGAAATGCTCATCAACAGCTACAATATCGTCTCATGCCAAAAGCATTAAAAATTCACGCACGCGCGCACGCTGTAACTAGCTAACTACATTTATAGGTATCAGAGATTATAGTTGGCATTTTAAATATCCCCTTCAAACTATACGTTTTTCTTCTAGCAAATAGATTTTCGTATACCAAAGAGAACACAATTGGGTTCATATGACAATTTTAAAGCACAAAAAAGAACATTGTTGTATAATAGAGACATAAATAAAGAATAAAATTCCACAACTAAAAAAGACAATTAATCCCACTTTTGCTGATACCTTTTTTCAATCAGTTCTAATTATTCTCCATGAAAAGGAATTAATTTATTAGCTAAGATGTAGCAGTAATTGTAACACTTGAATTTTGAATACTGATTAAACAAGTTAAGTTGACCTAAAATTTAAAAAATATAGTGAATTTAAGAGCAAAACTGTAGATAAGAGAAAATATAGAGCAACATTATAATTGTGAAAAAATGCCCAAAAATTAGAGGGAAGTTTCCAAAAGTAGAGAAAAGATTTTGAAAGCATATTTGAGGTTTGGGGACATTATTTAAAAGTTAAAATATATATTTAGTCCTTTAATTTCATACAATGTTTCAATTTGATCCCTTAACTTTAGAAAGTATATTTTATCTTTTAACCAAAAAATCATTAGGCTTATGATGATTTTTTGTAAAAATTATGGTTGTTTTAAAAATTAATATGTTAAATTGTTAAATTCTTCTATTAAAATTTAAGATCTTAATGCCATTATTTTCTGTTAACAATTTTAGGATTAAAAAATTAAAAGTATACTTTTTAAAGTTAAGAGGTTAAATTAAAATTATGTATAAATTTAAAGGATTAAATGAATACTTTGTCCCTATTTAAAATTTAAATGTCTCAACAATGAATTATATAACGGTCAAAAAGCTTATTTTGTATCAGAATTTAAGGAAATAAAAAGAAAAATAATGATTAAAATTATTCAAGGACTAGGACTATTGGGAAAAATGTTATCAACTATTATTTTGAGAATTTAGAAATATTATGAGGAGGCTTATATTTTTCAAAAATGACTTAATAATTTTAAAACTAATTTATGGAAAATAAGGGTCTATTTTTTCAAAAATTGAATTACAAATAGTTCGAGGCTAATTTTCAGCATAAAAATTTGAGGGAAGAAAATTAATTTTGTAGCCAGAGAACTAAAAAAATAAATATTCATAAATTGTGTCCCAGATTAATTTTTAAAATTTATTGGGAAAATTTAGTACTGACAGTGATGGGTACAACGGGAATTTTATTATCTCAAGCCTAAAAAGGAAATTGGGCCAATGCCTAACCCAAAGTAAAAGGTACTCCACATATGGCGCACTAAGTCCATGCATGTTGATTTTGTGTGAGAAGAAGTGGACTTTTGCATCTAGAGTTTCTGTTTCACGAGGGTATTATTTGAATTCTCCTATGGGATCTGAAATCTGGAATTGAAAAGCTGAATTTTTGCCACTGTTATAATGTTTAATTATGTGCTAAATTTATATTTACGGAGTTGGAATAGGGAGAATCAAAGAGAAGTCTCAAAATGTATAAAAGAGATTTCCAAAGCATATTTGAGTCTTACAAATATTATTTAAAACTTAAATGTCTCAAATATGAACTATTGGTCAAAAAGCCTACTTCGGTTGAGAATTTAAAGAAATTAAAGAAATTAGGTGGGAACTAAAATATAGTATACACCTAAAGGCTTCAAGGTAGAATTCAAACCAAGTTTTATTCTCCTCCCTTCTTCGGTCAAATTAATTGGAAAAGAGAATTAGGTTTGGTTGAATTTGAAGTCTAAACACCTCAACGTATTTAAAAGAGGAGATTATGAATCTGGAAAATTTTAAAATGTAAACTTTAATTCTCATCCCCTCTTTGGACAGCACTGTTTAGATGTTTATTGAATTAAAAATTTTGTGGCTCAGAGAGATTTAAATGCTACTGTTTTGATATATGATGACATGGAGCAAGTGTTTTAAATTCCCAAACTATATCAAAGGCATGTCTAAAAGCTCGTGTTTGGTGGGTCTTTTAAAGTGATTGGCAACAAAAGGGATTAGATTTTATAAGCTTTTCTCTTAAGGCCCTGTTTTGGATAACTTAGTTTTAGTGAGAGGAAGTTGAGTTTTTGCTAAATTCGAATATGATAATAAGCTTAGCAGAGACCTTGGTGGAGGAGCTAATCTGTAGCATAATTAATTTTAATATAGTAAGGCCTTGTTCGGCCAGCATGCTTGAGGGACATCCGAAGATGAACATTAATTAATTTAAAGGCTCCAATGATTTCAAATATAGTATGGTATGGGGGGAAAGTTAAGAATTAGTTAGAGCGGAAGGCTTTTCAAGAGCTAAAGTTAGAGATTTGAACTACTATTTTTGGAGCTATATTGAATTGGGTATGGATTTTTAAAGTATTTCAGAAAATCTCATCCCAATAATATTAGTGATAGAATCTAAAGTTTTTAGAGAAAAGGTTTCTAATTTTTGTTTCTTTGGATTTTTTTTTGGGTGAAGTTTTCTGGGGATTCTAAGGGGTCATATCTTTAATTTAATTAGTGACCCTACAATAAGTTTTGACAGTAACTTTGTTTGTTTCCTTTACTAAAAGAAATATTATTATTTATTAATTTTTATTTCAAATTTCCAATCCAGTCTTTAATAAGGTGAAAATAAATCTTAAAGGTTATCACCTTATAAAATAAGAATCAATTGATGTAACCCCAAAAAAAAAAAATCTAATGATAATGATGATGTCTCTTGGTATTTTTAAAATAACAAGCTTATGACAGTGGAAGGTATTGTTTCTTCAATGCCCTGTCCAAAACTACATGGTCTGTTTTTGTTTTTGTAGTTTATGTCAAATTTATTAAGCAATTGGAAGAGACACACGCTCTTTGGTGTGTGCTCGCGTGAGGGTACATTGTTGCCAATTTAAATATAATCTTCAAACTCTGTTTTTCTCATAAAAGGGACAGAATTTCCAGAACATTGCTACAAATTGAAAACGATCAAGCATGCATATAATCATTGATGCGGGACCATTGAAGTAGCAGTAAAATGATGCCATCAGCAATCAGAATCATACCTTTGTGAGGGGTTGTTGTGTTGCTTCTCCCGTATTTAAAGATTGTTCGGTACTCAAATGAGGTGAAAGCTTCTCCTATGTTTTTTCTTCAACTTGAGAATATGTTGTTTCAGAGCTTGCTTGAAAATGGGTAGTTGAAGTTTCTGAGATTAAGAGATTTTCATTGTTATAATAAAACTCATAATAAATTCCAATTCTAAAGAACAAATTACTTTTCTCAATACATACCATAAAAAGAAAAGTTGGGACAATCAATCACTCCCGTGTTATCATTTTCTTTCAAAGCTTGAAAATCAATCCCATGGCAGATGCTAACAAGTTTGGGAAGATCCCATAGTACCAATTTACTTAGTTGTGGAAGCACATCCTTCATGACCATCTCTTTCGTTTCACCTTGTCTTACCAGTACATGCTCAAGTCTCTTGGCTCCCATTATCCTCAAAAATCTTAGTTTTGGAAGGATACCAGTAATAGTGATAGAAAACAGGTACTTCAATTTGCGACACCCACTGACACGGACCTCTTCTAAGTTAGGAAAGCATGGTTCATGGTGCAAATGATCATCATCATTTGTTCCATTATCTTCTTCAACAATGTTAACCAATTCTTTACACCATAATATATGTAGTTCTTTCAACATTGGTAAGCTTCGCACCACAGATGGGGAGAAGATAACTTTGAGCTTTCCGCATCTCTCAATGCGTAGCTTTTGAAGACAAGGGAAGCATATGATATGTTTAGGCCCCACACATATATTCACCAACTCACTTAGATATTCCAACTCCAACTTTTGTAAGCTTGACGTCAATGGCTCAAGTCCGTCCCCATTTTTCTCTTTGTCCACATGTGTCAAATCAACAATTTCTTTTATTGTAGAGAATCCAATTTCAAGAGTTTTCAAAGTTGGCCTCCGCATCTCAATTGCCTACGAATTCCATGTACGAGATATATCAATTTCAAATTTATTTTTTTTTTTAAAAAAAGAACTTTAAAATGCGTAGCCCAATTTGAACAAAATTATAGTAGAATTTAGGGTGAGCGAAACCATTAAATAAAAATTAAGAGGCAACAAATACATTTGAATTTTAAATATAAGTGCTCTTTGCAAACATGTCTGTACGAAAATAACCACAAAAAATCCCTTATAGTTTATGAAAATAGAGATTTAGGGGCGTAATAATATTATTTTCTGCTTCTTTAAGAGAACAAATGAATGTAGTGAGAAATAGTATTAAAACATAACTTATCATTTGGGGGAATATATTAGGATTAGTAAGAGAAGTTGAACAGAGTTATACCTTTGTTTCCTGTTGTTTTGTATGCCAACGAATCAAAAATTCATTGAAAGGTCTCGTAAACTCTGAAAACCCTCTCAAAACAATGGACCTTGGATAACTGCTTCCAAATGCGTCTAATTCCTACAAGCCAATAAATCGTTAAAATATCATCATGCAATAATACATAAGAGGTTTCAGTTAAAGTAATATACATAATAAAATATACTAGCTAGATTAATTTGAAATAAAATTTAGCTTAATGTTCCATTTTAAAAAACTGTGCCAGTTATCTTATTCATACTATAATCAAGTTAAATCTTAAGTTTAAATAACTATAATTATATTTCTTCATCTTATAGGCACATTAGAAGAAGTAGAGTATTTTGATAGCTGCAGACCTTATTCCAAAAAATGAATTTATTAGACCTCCAATTGTAATACTAATGTTTTCAGTTTTTTTGCCGGACTGTTTTTTCAGTTTTTGTAATATATAAATTTTGGAATAATTTTTTCTGTAATATTAGTAAACAAACAATTAATACAAGAGGTTTAGCACATTAAAAGATCCATAGATAATTGTATTTCTTGTATCAAAATTAATGTTTGTAAAAATGGCATTTAAGGATCTTCTGCAAATCTTAATTATGTTAAGGACAGTGAAGTTCCAAAATTATCAAGGATGGGCCAAAGTTCTTGGTTGAAATCAAAAGTTTCGCTGAATTGATTTTTTCATTACTCTACTTTGATTTTTTTTTAATACTTCTATTTTCAATGTTTTCATTACTTTTATCTATTAATACTCATTTTTAATGTTTACTCTACTTCCAAAAAATCAAATATGAGTGCTGAAACATCAAAGCTGACTAGCAAAGCAGATCAAAGTAAAGTATTTAAAAATTTAAAATATGAATATTGAAACTATTAAAATAAGAATTGAAGCGATTAATTTTGAGTACTTAACAAATTGAAGAAAATCGCAAAGAATCAAAATAGAAAAAAATTTAAATTCTAACCAAAAATTTAATTTAAAATTTTTAAAATTCATGATCATTAACAAAAAAATTTTTATAAAGTGTTTTCAAATCTCATTTTCTATTTCTTCATATTTCGCTTTTGAGTAAGCATATCCATAGAGAACAAACAACATCACCATAAAGAGAGAGCATTACCTTTGTGGTATTCAAATCCAGTTGTGCTTTATAATTCATGGGACCAATGCTGATAAACTTAGGTACTCTGTCTAAACAGAGGACCTCCAAAGCAGGGAGATCAAAGTGCCACTCGTCATTTTGATTTTGATTGGATAAACGATGCTGATGCTGGTATTTCTCAATGACATGTGTTAGCTGAGGAGCATCTTCAATTATCAAGGACTTTAAATTCTTAATTTTTATAGATATTGCAGACAGAAATAAAAATTCCAAATCATTACACTCTGAGATATGAAGTTCCTGTAACTTTGGGAAAATGGAATTGCAACTGATTTCATCTTTATAATCATCCTCCTCGCTCGTTACCAAGTGCTTCAGCCCATCATAACCCCTGATTGTCAATTCTTCCCATTCTATCACTGATGCCATGGATAAAGTGAACAAAGTTGACACTGAATTTGAAGAGAGATATGCAAGTTCCACTTTCCTGATATGACGAACATAGAGTGCTAGTTGTCTCACAAGAGTTGGAACAGTATCAATCCATTTCTTTGATGCAAGTAATTCCTTCAAAAAGACATTGTTGTTTACGCAATCGTAATGCTCATAGATATCTAAACTAGGAAAATAACTTACAGGTAATGAAGATTTTTGTTGCAGTAGATGATGTCTAATTTGGTTGAAATCTGGAAAACTATCGTTATCCGATTATAATTTCAAGAAATTCAACAAAGATATATCATAAACTTTTTATGTATTGAGCATTGTTAACTATATTTCTCACAACAAAAGGCATGTGCGCATGCGCATGAATATGTTTATGTATGTCTATTTTTACTGAGGAACAATTGTTATAACAGATGTATTTACAAAATCTTGTTACAGATTCAGTCAATCATGCAAAAACGAGTGCTTCAAATTAATTTTAAATAATGTATCATACCAAGGATCACAATAACTATTTTTAACACTCATACCTCATTTTATTTAATTGTAAATCATTTTTCTTTTTGAGATCATTGACAACGTATATAGTTCACAAGAGAGAGACTTGAATGTAAAAGAAATTTGAACATAAGTAGTGAAGCGAGCTGATCATACCTGTGGAATTCCTTCGTCAAGCAATCTTCCTGTAGAAACAGCACCATCAGCCTCTTTGCTTGTGGCCTTTGATTTAAAACAACATACTTGAGCCCAAGAAAAAGAACGTGTCTTGGTGCTTGGAGGTATGGGTGCTGGTCGTTTTGGTGACGAAGAGGTGGATTTTTCATACTCCCTGAAAACACCAACCAGACTTGACAGACTAACAAGTTGCATTCTTTCCAGAGAGGGGAGCATAACATTGACCTCTTGGAACTTATCAAATATATATTTCAACTTCTTGCACTGCCTTATGATTATTCTTTCCAGAGGCCATCCACCGTGAAGGATTGGCAATATTATTACTAAATTGTCACAACAACCAATTTCAAGAATTTTAAATTTTGGAAACAGAGTGTCGTAGCTCTTTTGATCATTGTCACCATCACCACCAGCTATTTCCCCACTTGAACTCTTATCTTCTACAATGCATTCCAATGCATCACATCTCTTAATATTCAACTCCTCTAACTGTGAAAGACTTTGAGCAGTGGATGGGAGGAAAATTGACGTCAGCTTTCGACAGCTCTTCAGTTTCAAGGTCTTCAGATGATACAGGTTATAGTGGCCCTTAAATAATATATTGCTTAGTCCCATTTCAGAAAGATATAGTCCAACTAAATTGGAAAAGGCATTCTTCACATCAAGAGGATTGTTCGCAGCATCAATGAGACATTGCATGTCAGGCCAAGAATTCAATTGAAGAATGATCAAGTCAGTCGTGCCTTTGTTTTCTACTGGAACAATACCAGGGACAAGATTTTTCTGTTCTGTTTCTCCATAACCTTTTAAGATGAGAAGCTTAGCTGTTTTAACAAGTTGCTTAAATGTTGTCTCAGAGATTAAATGCCTCAAATAACTTGGCTTAAAGCATCTTGACAGGGAACCACATTGCTCAAAATAATCTAAAAATTCATCATCACCATCACAAGATATTTGATATATCTGTAAGGTATGAAAAGATGCTTTATGAGAAATTGTATTTTCTATTTGCTCCGTACCATACTTATTACTCAAAAAAGTCAACTCCTCTAGCTTTGGGCATGCTTCAATCGCTTCAAAAGGATTACTCATATTGATTTCACAATTTTCTATCCTCAAGAATCTTAACTTCTTTAGCTCAAAATTTTCTCCAGGTGATTTAATAATTGAACAATCATCGAACCATAGACTCTCAAGATTTGGTAACCTTCCCAACATAGAGATGCTGTTGCATAATTCAAGATTTCCTATCTTGAGAGTTCGAATATTTTGTAATGACTGAATTGACGAAAATAGTAATGGAACTGAAATTCGATAGTAAGTTTCACTCCATAGAAACCAAACTTTGAGCTTTTTCATCACTATAAAGAATGTATCAGGGACTTCCAAATCCTTTGGGTTATCCAGAACCCAAAGTAAAACCTCAAGGTTTCTATCATCAAATTGTCTTGGAAAACAATTGCTTTTACAAAATAAACATTGCAAGCCCTCATTAGGCGGTTTAGATTCAATGACAGATTGAACGTCCCTTTCTCCTATCAATAAGGCTACTTCATGAACCAAATCATGCATCTTTACACATTCCCTCGCTGCATTCAACAATAAAGAAGAATCTAGGAGTTCCACTATAGCATCAATTACTTTTCTTCTTCTTTCATTGTAGTCATCAACTTCCCGAAAAGGGCCCATTGCTGCACCAATTCTGATTAAAAACTCCATAGGAATCTCAAAATCTTCAGGGAATAGGGAAGATATCAATAAGAGCTTTTTGGCTTTTTCATTTTTCAAATTATCATAGCTCAACTTCAAACCTTCATAGACCCACTTTAAATCATCATCACGAACCCTTAATATAGGCTCACCTCTTTGCAAGTTCCTCAAGGCTTCCTTCCAAACTATAGAAGGTCGATCTTTTAATGATCTTGCTACAGCTACAATTACAATTGGTACTCCATGGCAATGCTCCACAATTTTGTGCCAACCTCTGCAAATTAGAGGAACTATTAGTATTCTTGAGGAAAAGTGCCAATGCTTCATTGGGGGTCAATTTATCTAGACAAACGTGTCTTTGGCACCCCATTTTTGCACAAATCTCTTTGCTCCGAGTGGTTATCAATATAGTACAACCCTTGTGCAGTTGACGAGGAGGAATCCCCAACTCCTTTGTGGGATCAAACTCCATCCACACATCATCTAGTACTATAAGAAGTTTTTCTTTTAATGCTTTGATTTCGGTCAATATTTTGTCATGGATTTCTTCTTCCGTCGCTTCATCCTTTAATTCCAAACCCAAATTCCTAGCAATTTCACGTCGCAGCTTTTTGAAATCTGAAAGCTTAGAGACAACAAGAAAGATGACTTTTCCGAATGTAGATCCTTCCAATTCAGCACCCACTTCTGTTGCCATTGAAGTTTTGCCTGTTCCCCCTAAGCCTTGCAATCCAATCATATTGTTTTCTTCATCTTCGAGTGCCGTTTTAAGTTCTTCAAATGTTAATTTTCTGCTCTCAAAATGCATGAAATTTGATAAGCAATGGTATTTTATACCTGGAAGATCAATTGGCCCTGCTACTATGTTAAAGTTACATCTCTCTAGAAGTTTCTCAATATCTAGAGTCCGCTTCGCCAAGTCTTTGCCTTTTTGATATTGATGCCAGCAATTAAGACACAAGTCATTAAAGCATTTATCTTTCTTAGTGTCAACATCAATGACTTTTTCAGCTTCATGTGTCCATTGTAGGGCTACAGATGTGATATGAGAAACACCTCTTGCTTGATCAATTCTTCTCCTTGCATCTTCGAGTTCTGCATTCAATCTTTCCTTTGCCTGCTCATACTCTTGAACATAACTATTGAAGCAACATAAATATTGAGCTTCATTTTTCACCAAGTTCACTATACCTTGGGCTTCGTTCTCTACAAGTTTAGCAGGGATGCCCTCCATCTAAAACGGAAATAAAGTTAATGTTATTCTATCTTTCTATCTTGATTTAAGTTGTGAAATACCGACATAATGATTTTAATAAGATGATAAATGAAGGAGACTAACTAAAAAAGGAGCAAAATATATACTAATTTGGTCTTTAGTATGATCATCTTAGAAAGTAAAATACATGAAGATGAATCCTGAAAGAAATTCACTATAGGTCATATATTATGACTCAATGAATGCATTTTGAAGCTGGATTTGGTAGAGGTTTTAAATGGGAGGTCACTTAGACTACATTAAAATTTCAAACCCCATAAAATTAGAGGCTTAAAATTACTTTTAATATTCTAAATATATATATGTAAATTGAAATATTTTTATGTTTTTGGTATTCATCCCTAGATTTAGGTAATACTTCTACCAGTAAAGAAGAAAACGTGATCATGGTTTTGCTCTCAAGTGTAGAAATTCTATTGGAGTGCTCTAATGCTTCTATCCTAATTGATATAAAAAAAAAATAACTTAAAAATGATAAATATATAAAACTTAGATTTCCTAAAAAATCTAAAACATATAAAATTTAAAAATATATGATTTTTATAATATATTGATTATAAAATATGTTGTTTCTTTAGTAATTACGTGATAGACTTTACCTTTATATTAACTTAACAAATATTTAAAACTACAATCCATAAATGTCAATATTTTTATAAGACGCAATATATATGTGTCGACAAACTAAACTTTCCCGGTCTAACGCTGTCATGACATGGCAAATGTGCAGCCAAGTGTCTACTTTCATGGATTATTTGTGTTAGTATATTATCCTTTTTATAAAAAAAACATTTACTAAAAAGGTTGGAAATAAAATTTTCAAACCAGGTTTTCTTTAACCTTATTGAATTGGCTTAGTAGTATTATGTGTGTATTACACATATTAACATAGGAATAAAATTAAGATGATCATATATCCTAACCGTTTTTTTCCCTTTTCTGTTTTCATTTGGGAGAAGAAAGCAATTGATGAACTCGAAAATAAGAACATAGGGTATGCACCCACAATTTAACAAGTTTCAGAATATTATTGTTTTTTTCCCTAGTCCGGTGTAACATCCCAAAATTTATTAAAATTACGATTAGGTCCCTGTTAAGGTTTGGTCCTAAGAACCATCTTAGCAAGGTCTCTATTATAACGACTTCTAACCTATATTCATGTCATTTTTTCCTAAACAGCTTTCAAGACTTCATCAGAATCTTTATCTTTCTTGTTTCTTGGTCCCAAAAAACCCTCTTTGTCATTTGGTCCTTGAAAATCCTTCTATTTTTTCAAGGAACTTCTGAGACTCCTCTCAATTAGAGTCCAGTAGCTTGCTCGTTTCGTACTATTTCTTACACTTCTATATCTAAACTTTGGAATGTTATATCATGTACTTATGCTTTTTTAAAAATAAAAAAAAAACAAATTGGATCATGCAATGCCATATTTGTATATAAATATGTGCGTGTTAGGAAAATAGTAATAAAAACATAGATACACAATATAAAAATAACAGAAAGAAACTCAATCAAATAAAAATATATCCTTACCTTTTTTTTTTTCAGATTTCAGTGTTGAACGAAGAGAAAATAAAAGAGATTCTCAAACCAGAACACAAGAATGCAAATCCTGTCAATCAGAAAATGTAAAAGAGATTTCAATATAAATATCTGGATTAAAACTATACAAAAATGATATTGTATATTTAGCAATTTCTTGCGATTTCAATCGGAATAAAGAGAATCTTGAATCGCATACAAATTTCAACATGAATTATAAAAAAAGAAAATAAGAACTAATGATCATGCAAAACTATTATTATTAATGGATCAAAAAACTGTTGTTATTAAAAAATTGATCTAAGGATTGATGAAGACTAAAATAGAAGGAAAAAAGAACATATAAGTAGAGCCGGTAATATGGGGGCTCAACCCGCCAACCCACCAACAAGTGGCAGGTTGGGTTGATAAAAATTAGGACCGTTTTAAAATGGAAGTTTTGAGCCCATAACCACCAAGCCCAAACCCGCGGCGGGCTAACCCGCAGCGTTGGCGGGCCAACCCGTTTAACCTTTTTTTTTTTTTGTTGCAAATTTTTCCCTTTGCCTCTCGGTCTCTACACTCTCAGCCCAATCCACAGTCCAATAGTGAGCAGTCCATGTCCAACACGACAACACCAACACGGTCCCTTTTTCACATTTTGCTTTCGTGTCGCACTCCTCCCAGTCTCCCAGTTGCCCTCGACCAATCCCAGCTCCCAAGCCCCAAGATCTCCACTTTCTGTCTCTGCCTTGCGCCTTTACCCTAGCTCACGAGTGATGATTGAGCACTTGATAGTTAATACTTGATAGTGATTTGTGTAGTGACATTGTGTTTGTGGCTTTGTGGTAGTGTTAATTTGGATTTATGTTTTAATTTGAGATGTTTGTTAAATTATTAAGGACATATCATGTTCATTTAATTATATGTTTAATATTTTGATATATTTGAAACTTGAAACTTTGGATGGATTTCATGTTTAATTTATGATAATTTCTATTTGTATGTTTTATTTTAGGTATTTAGGAATTTGAGACTTTAATAGGTTTTATTAAAAAAAAGTAAAAAAAAATTACAAATTTTGGCGGGTTGGCAGGTTAGCGGGCTAGGTTGGAAAAATTCCAGCCCGCCAGAAAGCGGTCCTAAAAAGCCCAACCCGCCAAGCTTCAGGCCCACCACGGGCCAACCCATAATCTGCAGGTTGGCCCATATTACCAGCTCTACATACAGGCAGCCAAAGAACCAGGAGGAACACACCTAGCTGAAAAGGTATGAAGCTTCCTGGCCCGCCTGTTTTTCCAATCAAATGCAACTAAACGTACAGTTTCGCATATTTGTTTGTCATGAAAGTCATAATCAAAATGCTAAAAATGATTGGAAGAATACTCCAATTAATGTGTGTGTGTGTAAAGGAAAAATGATAATATAAACATAAAACAATATAAAAATAAAAAAAACACATTCAAATTAGTATATATTCTTACTTTTTCAAAAAAAAGAGAGTTCAGCGTCGTTTCATAGATAAACTGGGAGAAAATAAAAGAAATCGCAAATCAAAAATCAAGAACACAAACCCCTGTTAACAAAAAAAAACAGAGAGAGAGACAAATGAAAGCTTTAATTATAATAGAAAATATATAATAAGAATAAGATTAAGGTGATCAAAAATTAATCCATTCATATGATATTTTTTGGTATCACAAGGAATATGCATTTCTCTTTTGAACTATTTTTTTTAATAGGCAAGGAGTAAGCATTTTGCAGTTCTCCTCTTCCAGAAACTTTTTATAATTGAAAGTATTCAATATAAACATCAAATGGCTACAACATTATAATTAGAACTATACAAAAAATATCATAAAGAGAATACTAAAGGAAACGGTCACTTTTTATAATTTGCATCATATTAATTGTCGTGTTCCTTAAGAGAAAGCAGGATACATCATGAGGGGAAGTCTGAAGCCTAAAATACATAATAATCAACTTTTTATGGGGAAAAAATAATCCCTTTAAATCACTGAAAGAAGATGATCAATAAATTCAACAACTCATTTTTGGGCCACTTCATCTTATCTCAAATCTAAAAAGTAAAAACTGAATCACCTTTGAAAGCTTGTATTCTTTTCATGACCCGCCCAAAAGTTAAAAATATATATATTTTGTTGCAGAGTTTGATTGAATTAATTTTTTTAATTGTAACTTTATTTAAATTAGCCTCATGGTTGCCAAATCACTATGGAGTCTCATGTTGCCCTTAATCTTGATATGCAATGACTTTTTAATTTTGTTCTATTATAAGATATATTTGATCAGCTCACTAAAACTAAGAAAAATATTAACTTATTTGGTTTTAGTTAAAAATGAAAATTATTTAAATTTTTCTCTCACATTTCAAGCAATGCTTAAATCTGACTTAGCATATATTACTGAATATCAAATAATTATATAAAAATATAAATTATATCTTAAGGAGTCATAAAAGAATTACATCAGACTTTAATGAGTGCTAATATTAAAAAAAGGTAATCAATATTCACTTGATCATTTAAATAAAAATTCTCTTATAAGAAAGAGAAGATTATTCTATATCAATGATTATCCATTCATCATATCACACAGGCACTGCGCGCGCGCGCACCATTGCCAAAGTTTCGAATCACATTAGTTGATCTGTTCTTATAAAGAAAGCCGTAGACATATATCATAAAATGTACATTTTAAAAATTAAGCTGATCTGCAGATTATTAAATGCTTTTTTATTCCTTAAAACGTCCCTTGCTAAATTATGAGATGTATATTTAAATTTCACAAAAAATTGTCAGCTATTAATTAACGAGTAAGTGTAGGAAAAAATTGTTTTGCAACAAATTTAATAAGCTCACATTTGTTTCGCCTATTTTATATCTGGTTTGTATAAGCTTAGTCACTAGGGTCTTATATTTTAAAAAGCTGATAGAAGAAAATTGAGTATTATGAAAGGTTTCACTGCGTCTTCCAAAAATTGTGTTGCTTTGTTTAAATTATTAGTGAAGTTGAAATTTGAAAAACGAAATCACAACTAACAAATTACAACTCTTATTCTATGAAATGACAATAATATTAAATTTTTTTCTGCCAACGACAATAATATTAAAATCAGTGACAACTAATTTCTCAAACTCAGCTTTGCATGTTATAGGTGTTAGCATATGGATAAATAGGAATGACAACGTTTTGTCCAGCAAATCACAATACTTTCACTTTGTCATGTGATGTGGATATCTCATATACTTTAGTGCTCATAAAAAATATTATTACCTCTAATTCTAAATATAAGAGCTAGTTTATAATTTGTAATATAAATTACATTACAAACTAACTCTTATATTTAAAACAGGAGATAGTATGTTGAAAGACTATAATTAAATTAACTTTTCAATTTGCTCATGATTAATGCT